CGTCCAATTGCTCGGTGGTGTTCCACAGCTTGAATTTAATAACATCTTTGAAACGGGGGTGTAAGAATGGTGAGGCCCAAGGACTCTCAGCCAGACCCCGGAACATGTCAGTCAACGCATTGGGATTCGGTATAGATGCAGCAGGTCCGGGATTGATCCATAACCAGAATTGAGGTCTACAGACTTTGGCATCTGCAGGCCAGTCTTCGAGATGTATGCCGGTGTTTTGCGTGAAGAGGAAAGAGAGGAGAGCTAGATATGGCTTGTCGGTGAAAGGTCCTGTCCAGAACATGTGGAATGTGCGAGGATTTTCGGGGTCGCAAGGTTCGGGTAGGGAAGCACTAGGGGTATGTGTAAGTGCTGGTGGGAGTTTGAGAGGCGTTTCCCACTCTTCTCCTCGTTTCCTCTGTAAACCCGCGTCGGGGTCTTCCTGAGTTACAATTTCTTCGATGGGACGACGTATAGGGTTAGGTTGAACAACATTCTCTTCTGAAGTCTCCGACACGCTCGTAGTCTCGTTATTGAGTTCCATATAGATATACTTCCAGTGATCCATCTTGCCTCTTCGTGTCCGTTGACCATTATCGAGTCCACCTCCTAGTCTTAGTATTTCCAAACAATCACGGACGTACTGAAAGCTCGTGTGAGAGACTAGTATAATAAAGCTGTAGAATCAACGGGGACGGGACGCACCTTGCCCGTCGAGAAATCACAGTTATCCATGATAATATCCATATCGGCAACACTGCCCGGGACAGGTCGTGGAGGGTAGGCAACATTGGGAGAAGCGCTCTGAATGTCGAGGTAAACTCTTTTGGGACCGACCCCGAGAGTGTCGGTATCAGCGTCTATGGTTATCACGTTCGGCGGTGGCCTATATCGTGAAGGAGTCGTCTTTCTGGGTTTTATGGGAAGAGCAGGGTTCTGAGGGGGATTCGTCAAGCCAATTTGCTTTGGTACTGCACAAAGACGTACAAAAAGGCGCGAGTGTGTCAGTACCTAAAATCGTGAAGAAGGGAAGTACGTACTACTCCGTCGAGAAGGATAGTGACCACTAGTCACTTCCCAATTCCATATCCGCTGCAGGTCTACTCTCCTAAACACCAACGTTGGAGGGTCTACTGGCGGTGACCATGGAGGTTCAGGCCAGTTCTCTGATCCTACATTTCTAGAGAAAAGCATGACAGTCATAACGACAGCCATGCAAGCCATACATATGAGGATTGGCGTCCTCTTTCGACCGAGGAGCCTTGGCATGGGGATGCGGGAGCCATTTGGAACGATGATGCGGAGGCGGCGATTTGGGACGCCAGGGATGGGAACAAGAACCAGCTTGGTCCACGACTCTTTTGATCTGTGGCCGAGTTTTTCGTAGACTGCAGAGTGCGTGGGCAGACCACCACCGTTGGAAAGCATGGGTTGAGCCAGACCGTCGTTGGTCGCGCAAAATTACCCTTTCCAGGTGGCTGTGTTCATCAGCTTCAACGGATATGATGTTATTTCAATGCGCGGTTCGGCAGCTTTGCTTCTACTTCTACCACATCCCAGCTTTGTGTGGTATACTCTGCATTTCCTCAAACTCAACTAGCTGCACCAGGCCTATGGAGACCACAATTTGCTTCATAGCAGACTCTTTTCCTTACAGTCGCGATTCGGTTTCTTCGGACGGAATGTAACTCCAAAAGACCAGTGTCACGTATCCAATTGATGCATTTATCGCATCAAGAGCTGCAGTGTATAGCCTTACCGGCATCGGTCACAACTTACAGCAAAAATTTTCCAGTCCAAATATCTAATACATACCTGATACGTGTTGCTTAGACATAATACTGCTGCGCGCTGGGAACGACTACGTGGAGGGACCACTTTATTTTTAGGACAGGACGTAGTGGTGAGTCTAAATCATCCGTGTTCCATTATAAGGATCTACGCTGAAATTTCAGGTGGCCTTCTGCCAAGACTTAGAAGCCAAAAATACATTTACACATGTCTGCAATTCATCTTGAAGGTTTGTCCAAAGTTAAAGGCAATTTTTGACCTCTGCAGGAACTGGAACCTGGGAAATATGAGGTTAGCGCAGTCGATCGGCGTAGTTGACCGTAGAGATCAACGAATTGGAAGGAGGTACAGACCTCATGGAGAAACTGTCGAGAGGGAAACAGAGGCGCGTATAACCGCGATGACGTGACGCACTCAAGAGCTTTTTGTACGTACTACGTTGGCAAAGACAAACGAGTTTGCAACCATATACGGGAAAGTACCTAATGTCACAATTTGATTTGGAGGAACTTCTACGCAAAAAGTAAACATCAAGACTCGAGGCCAACAGTGTTTACGAGGCTCAACACAGGCTGAAGATGTACCATGAAGTTCTGACTCTCTGGCAATGTCGAAGGAGACATTTATCGGGTATTATTATGATACACTAACTGACTAGCTAACTACGTATATAAATCTCCAAAGCAGACCAATGATACAGACGACACAACCTACGTATACTCTACAATTCAGATATGAACGACAGTGCCTGAAATCATTTCGAAAACATTACTTTGACCCAAGGCGGCACAGCTAATCACTTCACTAACCAGAGTCTGCCACGGCTTAAGCTGGATCCTAAAAGTCCAGACCTTCTTCCTCTTCCTCAACTAAATCCCATTCATCTTCCTCTGTTTCTTTACCTGTCTTCTCTGTTCCACCATTCGAATCCCTATCTCTACCTCTACCCCACCTCCCGCTCCTGATGACGTCCTTTGCTAACGAAACACTCGATCTCCTTCTCGAGCTCATGCTTTTCCTCAAATCTGAATTCTCAGACGATCCAGGTCTCATCCCCGAGCCTGGTCCGGAATTCGAGGTAGCTATCGTGCCCGTCCCAGCGGTAGTAACAGCAGGTGATGATGACGATGAAGGAGATTTCGTACTGGAACCTGACGATTTCCTCATAACTGCTTCTCTCCGTTTTGGTCCTCTGGCCGTAGCTTGCAGTAGTTGACCAAAATCCAACTGAAACTGAACTGGTGTAGGTGTTGGAAGGTGTGGTCGAGTTTCATGCGAGCGTCTAAAAACGAAACAAAGGGTTACACGTCATTTAGTTTACACTGTGTACATGGTTACAACACGAAGACAAAAAGGGCTCACCTTCCTAGCTCTGGACTACAACAAACCGCCCACAGGTTTCCGAGAACGTCTCCGGCTTGTGCTAGAGGTATATCCACATTCTGAGTGTAGGCAAGGTAGCAGACATTGTAAAGTAACATTGCTAGAGCCGTGGTAAATGAAGGAATCGCTGTGGATTCTGTTTCCTTTGTGTGTAACATGGAATCTGCAAGATCATCTTTCGGGGCTGATCGAGAGGTCGACGAGGGAGTCAGAACAGTAGATTGAGTAGGAGTCCGGTCAGCATCGTCTGAACCAGATTTCCTTGACCTAATTTTGCGTTCCGGACTAAGAGTCAAATATTCGTACTCTGTTGACTCTGAAGAGTCTGCGTCAGCGTCTGCTTCGAGATCTGAGGCTGAAGGCGGTAAGAGTGGGGAAGACGAATTCGTTAGATGGAGTGGATATTTCAAGTGCCATCTATAATGACAAAGGTTAGTTAAATGAAGAGAAGCGCGCAGTAATCCTGATATACTCGCCTTGCCCATTCACCAGCCGTGGTTCCATAGCCTTTGACACTCCCAATCCAAGGTACACCAACACCTAATTTCCTCCCACCCCAAGTAACTTCAAATGGCATTTTCACTCCTAGATAGAACCCCAACAGCTCTACGAATCGGATAGTATTTGTCAAAACTGCATTGATATGCTCAGTAGGATACCTCTTGACATCTCCAGGGACAGGCAACACCAAGTTGGCTATACTCCATTCTCCAGCGACGCCCGGTCGACCGTTCATCGGTGGTCTTCCACCGAGTTGAACTATGTTAAACACTTCGACCAGTTCGGCGACTAGACCACTTCGCGCGTGCGTGAGGGCCGCTTGAAGATATTCGAGGGATGTAGCATATTGATTGATGAATGGCGTAAGTGGTGAAGGTGCAAAGCTCGAAGGGGAGGGGTAGGTGGTTGAAGAAGACGCTGATAACGAAGGATGAACTGAGGAAGTCGATGTGGATCCATGACCTGACACAGTTGAGGTAGTGCTGGGCAAGAATTGTAATTTGGCTGCAGACAAAGTTTGTCGACGAGTAGCTAATGTCTCTCGTAACTTTTGCAGACGAGCACGTTCTAAAAGTAGAATGAATATTCGAGTTTATATCGACGAGGAAGGTTCCAAGGAAACGTACTCAAATCGTTGTCCTTCCTGAGCTTGGCCAAACCGTTCATCAACTCGTCCACTCTAGTTTGGATCGTAGTGACATTCGCTCTCCGTATCCTTGAGCCCTCTACAGATTCTAGACCCCGAGTGGCTTTGGACACGGCATCATCTCGTTCGTTAGAAAACTTCTGGATTTGTAGACGACACTCCTCAAAGCTGGATACCAAAAGTGTACATCATAAGTGAAAACAAAGAGAAACAGCGAATGAGGAGAGCAATCTGTCAGGTATCACAATCTTGTCAGATGCGGTATATCATACGTACCGACCGCTGATGCACTTTGGACAGAAGAATTGCTGTTGTCTATACTGGCAACCCTTGCATTCCATACAGACTCTGACCAAAGATTTTTTTCTCTAGCCTCTCTTGTATCTTGATGAGCTTTTGGTAGGTGATTGCTTTCCAACGGTACGGGTTCGTAAGACTGTAGAGATAGCGGTACCGGAAACGAGAAAAAGCCATAAAACCTGCGTCATTAACTGAATGCATAACACTTCCAGGCTTTTGCCAAACATATACAAACAAACTTCTCAGTCAAATCATTCTGCTTGCCAATCTTCTCGAGTGGACACTCCTTGCAAGCTCAATTATGCACCGTGTATCAAGCATTGCACAGGCTGTAGTAATAAAATTAAATGGTCTTAATCGAGTTGAACCTGTAGACTTAAACACAAAACAAGGGCACATGGTGTAGTTGGTTATCACATCCGCTTAGCATGAGTTACCGGGCATGCGTTTGCGGGGGGTGCTGGGTTCAATTCCCAGTGTGTCCAAGTTTTAGCAATATCGTTTTCCTGCAGGAGGGAGAATATGCCCGATGAAGAATCGTGCTGGTATATAACTGTTGTGCTACTTTGGATACCTTTCCGTGGCCATTTTCCAATTCGAAACAACCTCGGGTTCTCAGCGTATTGAAATACTCTGTTCAAGTTCTGTGCGCCTTGACCCCGGCAATCGCAATCGATATGCACATGGCTTGCGAAACTAGGCAGCGAAATGCTGAAGCTGAAGCCTTGAAGCATGGCACAGGCTCTCCTAAACGCCTCTACACGTGGGTTGTACATGTTAATCACCTGATCTTGCTGATATCACCACACAACAGCACACAACACCAAACATAACCGTCCCCGCTTGATTTGATTCAGTCACATCGGATTCATTTCCCTTGCGTTCCCCACACTTCTTGTAAGGTCCCTGTCTCTGTACGTTTTCTCATATACCAAAGTGTTGTACCAAAATCTGCATTTAGCATCGCCACACAATCTACGCGTCCGGAATCACCAAAATGTTTGGCTTAATGAGAAGGATCTCCAGCGGGTTTATCCCAAGGGCAGATAGACCTTGGCAAGAAGACGGTATGTTTCTTTCGAGAAATAGACGGAGGAAAGACGTGCTAATTATCTCCCTTTCTATGACTCTTGCCTTGGTCTGACGTTTCTTTTTTTCATCTGGTCCACTGGTGCTCCGGCGCTTCTGACTGATTTGCTCTATCCGGACATCCTGCTTATTTCGACGAAATTCTGTTTGTCGCGTCGGGTTTTCTGATGTCCAACCGCCCTATTAATCATTCTTGACTCCCGCTGACGTGTCTTTCTTCATTTTACGCTGTCGTTGTCATCTTGGTTGCCAGCGACATCAAACGCGCCCTCGGTTGGACGAAAACGTAGGCGAGACTCTGAGGAACAAGAGGATGTAGACGAAGAAGGACGTTCTACCCCCAAGAAGGCTAGAGGAGACACTCCTGGCGTGTCCGGACCGCCGCCCCCCGTACAGGAGACCGAAGCGGTCAAGGAAGTGACTCAGGGGGTCAAGGAAGTTGAGCTGGCTGATAAAGAGAGGCAGGACGAGGTCGAAGAGAAGGGGACCGAAGTCGAGGAGGAGAAAAAAGAGGCCCACCATGACGTTTCTAAAATAGTGGAAGGTCCTGACGCCGAAACCACGGATGAGGAGGCCGTTGCCCCGGAGAGTGTACCTCTTCCAGACGAAGTTTCTGGAGAGTTGGACGAGAGTGCGTCAATTCGGTCTACACCTCCCGCCTCAGAGACAAAGTCCGATGAGGTGGAGGTGTCTACGAAGGAGTCAGAAACCATCCCTGCCCCTGAAGTCGCACCCCAAGACGATGACACTGCAAGTCTCGAAACGGAAGAGTCGACGAAGGAAAAGGAAGGCTAACGCTTTCCTTGTTTTCTTGTCTTTTCATGATATATCCTGATTTTATTGTCCCTCTGTCACTCTCGTTTCATTTCTATTAATTAAATCCAACCCTCGTATTTTTGTACATTGCACACATCTCACATATCTTTTCCACTGTCCACACTCCCATTCACTCTGTCTTGTTTATATTCTGTCTATATCATACTTTGCGCTATCTGTTTCTCGAAACGCTTTGTTTACCCTTGCATACACACATACGCTCTATAAATATGTTGAATACCGCACCCATTGTTTGAAGGTCTTTGTCCATTGTCATCGCCCCCTATTGTGTTTTCCCGGCCTGTCACTCACCTACATATAGTTATACATCTAAAGAGACTTTTTATCTTTTCCTTGCTCTTGTATTCTTTACGATGTATATACAACATCCAATCTTTTACTCGCGATTTTGTCTTCGGTTGTCTTTTCTCACTTTATCTTTCCTCTTACTTTCTGAAACTGCATGAAGTTATCGTTATCACTCATATTATCGGTCTATTTTTGACTAACTTGTTTTGCGCATCCCGAACCAGTTTCCTCACCCCTATCGTTGTTATTCTCTCAGGTCTGCTTGAAGTAATGTATTGTAGAAAGCTACTTCTAACACTCATCCAGCTATCAGGATATCCACGGAATTGGGTATGTATGTATCAATTCGGACAAATCTTCGTCTTCAGTGTCACTACTGCACGATTTAGAGAATTTTCTTCCAGCGAACAGTTTTTAAACTAAACCCCTTCGTATAGCGAGATACGTGCCAATTTGGATATTCTTATGAAAACAGTTTTTAAACTAAACCCCTTCGTATAGCGAGATACGTGCCAATTTGGATATTCTTATGAACTGAGATCACAGGTACTATCTGCACTCGCCATATCCGAGGGCTGGCTTTGGGTGTCTGATTACTGATTCCATACTTGTGTCCAATTTTTGCCACAAGCAAGATTATTCCAATTCACTGTGGCCGGCTCCGAGCGGGATATGTACAGCGAGAAAGGAAGAGAATAAAGCCAGTGCTACATAGGTACTGGTAAGCATACTACATGTGGATGTTCCGTGTAAATGTGTACCCGAGCCTCAATTGGCAGTAGTTGGATTTGACTTTGGCCTGGGTTGAAAAATCGAAGGGTTGAGAGGTAGATGGTTTTCATAACGAGTCAGGAGATTCAAGGTTCGCCATTTGTTCGAAGGCGGTGATGTCGCGAGGGGGATACAGAAGTCTTTCATGATCCTCTTGAACTGCTCGTACGTGACATTGCCGTTCAACGTGCACCAATCAAAGTCCCCCGGGTCAATAGATCGATCATCGGCTGCTAGTATCCCCTGTTCCTTAGCTTGGAGGTACGATTCCTTTTCGGCTGTGAAGTCATCTTTTGCAGAATGCCCCTTGGCCAGGATTTTCCTCAAACTCTCGAGATAAAATATGTTGCCAAATCCGCTGAAGAAGGGTGTGACTTGGATCTTTTGGGAGGCATCGCGGAGCCAGGATCCTTTGAATTGATACACATCGAAGTTGGTGGCAGAGAACCACTGTCCGTAATATTGGTGCACTTGCACGAGTCTGGGCTCCTTCTTGTTCTTGGGCCCCACCTTCTTCAAGTCGTAATTTGAGCAAAAGATGAGCATGACGTAGAACAAAGACTCCAGGTCATGGCGATACGCGTGTCCCTTATCCCACCTCACATTAAGAAGATCGTGGGACATATACGGTTTCGTTCCGGTACGCTGTTGGGAGGTGGCTTTATCTGGTGGGGGCAAACGTGTAGACAGATCCAAGTCATTCAGAACGCCGTAAACAACATTGCCCTCTTTTCGATACATGATGTTAGTTAGACTGATGTCACGATGAAAGATTTTGGGATGGTCTATGAGCCATCGATGGATCTGCAAGATGTCGAAGAAGACTTGCGCGTAGTCTGCTTGGTCTTTGAGGAAATCAGGGTCAGTGATGGATTTAAGAGGCTCCTGTGCAGTGATGCGCAAGAGGCGCAACTTGTAGGGAATGTGTGCGTTCTTGAGGTACACAGCAAGTCGAGACTGAGGCGTATCGGTGAGCTCGTAATCCTTCGACCATGGAATTTTGGGTAGATGATTCAGTGCCCAATGGTGTCCCGAATTCTCGGCCATCTCGCGAACTTCGTTAATGAGACTCGCCTCTGATGGGCGGTTGACTCCAGGGAAACTGAGCTTTACGATGACGTCCTCGCCGTCGCATTTAGCTCTTATGACCGTCGTTCCCCGTCCGATGATTCCGTGGGCACGATATAGAATCTCCCCTAACTTGAAGGTTTTGTCATCTACAAGTAACTCGCATCCATGGAAGGCATTGCTACCTGAAAAATTCTGCGACCGGTCATCGATAGGAGGAGCCCTGGACACTGGATATCGCGGGTTGATGGGGGGTTTAATGGTTGGGAATAATTTCCCATCGCCATTGCTTTGGAATCTACCCTGCTCGCGGTCTGACAGGGTGCACAATTGATGCAAAACGGCCAGAAAGAGATCGAGGTTGTGCGCCTGTGACAAATCATCGTCGTCTGCTTTTGCGATTTCGATAGCTTCAGAGAGGATGACCTTGGATCGGTCATAGTAGGCAAGCTGGAGGAACGTGGACTTGATGCCCACCGGGGAGTCCATGATGATGCCGACGGAGTGAGACTTAATCAGACCACTGGACAGCATCTCGAGGCCGTAACCCGCGCACTGAAGCTGCGTATGGAATTGTCTGTCAGTGTCGACCAGATTATCTTCTTCGTCGGGGTCCATTTCGTCGCTTGATGCCCTGCCCTTGGTCAGCTTAGGAAGTTTCCGTCCGCCTTTTCCCTTTTGTCTTTTCTTCTCCCTGTTGCTGTCACTTTGATTGTCCGAGGCTGCATTCTCGTGCGATTCAACTAGCGTTGATATTCCAGCAGTAGGCTCGACAGGAGTCTCGGGGGGGTTGTTTGCGGTGACATCGGCGAGAAGACCGTGGAAGGACGTTTGGACATCTTGCTGCGATGTTTGGACAGCTGTAGAAGTGTTAGTCATTGAATGGCTAACAAATGAAAACGTGATAGCCCGGACCTTGTGCTTCAATCCCTCGGGAGGAACTCGCTGTAGAGGGACTGCGTAACTGGTAGACATAGAATGGATACAGCTGACATACCGTCCGAGGCAGATGTGACTTTCGAAGTCGTGTCTATGAACACGATTAGCTGAGAATATTGTACAGATGTGAACGAAAGTGCCTCACCATCAAGTTTCATGGAGACCACGGGTTGGCGCGTATCCAACGCCATCGACCCCTTTAGTGTACGTTTGAGTTCCAGCCAAGTGTCCAACGTCGGCCAGTATATGTGCATCTTCCGGACATCGATGTCTACGTGATTGGGGGCTTCACCTTCAGGAATATCGGGTTTGCGAGTGGTATAACATCCACGGGTAGGTTTCTCTGAGCCATTGTAGAACACGAGAGGGCGTGATCTCTTGTACGGAAAGAGAACCGCCAACACAGAGTTGATGAAGTTCACTAAAGGTCCATAGAGAGCCGTTTCCTTTGTATTAGGATTGCCAAACGTTTTGACGTACACTTGCCAGTCAC